TTTTTTTTTTTTTTTTTTATTAGAATTTTTATGGCAATAGGAAGTTTTTTTAGTGGCAAACTTTTAACTTGATTTTTACCTATAAGAAAAAGAAGTGTGTTTCGTGAATATTATTGGAAAATCGGTAATAAAATTTATCTATTATATTTGTTGTTACTGGATTGAGATAAATTTCTTTAATGCTTCTTTAAAAATTGATTTATGATATTTGGTTACTAAATTTTTAAAATTGTGATTTTGAACTCATTATTGGAATTCAAGAAATTTTTTTATTTATAAAATTTAGGAAATTCGTAAAATTCTTTTGTTGTAAATTCAGAAAATATAAATTAAAAAATCCTGAAGGTAATAAGTATTTCTGTACTTTTTATTCGTTATTAAAAATTATTTTTAAACGTTGCTTCATGCATATAAAAAGACTGTTTATAGAATATTTATATATTTCATATTTTCATAAATGAAAGTATAACATTGATAGGGAGTACAGTGATACAATATTTAACCTTGCTCTTCCACTCGGTTGAAGTGGAATTTCGAGGGATCCACTCGTTTCTGGAGGTTAGTTTCTTGAAATATCCAGCAAGTGCATCTCCAATTTCACGAAATGAACGCCACTGTAGAAATTCTTGTGTTATTCCATCCCAGACACATTTCTTCGTCGAGGAGTTTGCTTGGCGTCTGACAACGTTGAAATTCGATTGATTTCCACGGTTCTGATCAAAATTTTAAGAATGTCGTGTTCTATTTAAATCATACTTATTCATATTTATAATAGTCCAGAAATGGAAAATAGAAATAACAAGTTTGGTATTATAAATATAGCACGATTTTTATTCGCTTCAGTAATTTTCTCAATTTTCTCTCGATAATAAAATAACTCTTATCGATGAAATAATTACAATAAAAAGAGAATATAATCATTATTCGAGAAATGAAAATTTATAAAAATGATATTTCATAAAATGGTTATTTCCTTTAAAAATATTTTCGTAAATAATTTTGCAATTTCAATATGTAATAAATTTATGGCATTAAATGGCTCATAATGTCATATAAATGTGTCGCATAAACAAGAATTACACGTATAATAATACGAGATATAATATAAAATTTTATCAATATAATAATATCTCGCTAATTATTTCTTGCAAACAAATCAATCATAAAATAAACCATTGAAAGGAATAATTTAATTGTAAATTAAAATCTATATTGATACCTCTTTTCTCTCGTGTATCGTAATTTTTATATTTTTCGATTTCTCTGAAAACGAAAACCTTTAATAAAATATTTTTTAACTCTCGTTTTCTTTGTCAGAGGGACACGTTGTGTATAATTCTCGCAAGCAATAATATCCAAGTTTTCCCCTTATAATATTTCTCTCACAAGTTGTATTAACATTTATTCTCTATAATTCATATTCATCAAATTTCTCTTCCTCCCAAAAAATTACAATTTAAAACCAGCTGTTATCGATATAACATAAATTTCTACACTCATAATAAAATAATATATACAATTTATATAACAAAATCGAGCAAAAGGAAAATTCGCAGCCATCCGATTCAGCAAACGTCTCGATACTTTCCAACCCCATCCTCAACAGGAATCGAACTATCTCGGACTATAAATCTGATCCAGGAAGTATCCACGGACGTTTCGAATCGGGAAAAGTTTGGCAAATCAATTTCGAACGGCCCCTCGTCTAAGATTCTCTAATTACTTTTCCCTAGCTAGGCGACACGCTATCCCGCTCGAGACAAACCGATCGAGCAGAGTACAAAGTCTCTTCCCAACCGCAGAAACCTGCTACTTCGACCGAACGAATCCCACGGCTTCGGCAACGAGCAAAAGTTTCTCACGACGGTAGCCACCCCCGTGTGTCGAATACTTTTCTCTCTACCTGTTTCCCTCTCTGAATGTGACAGCCTCCGGTTTCCCTCCTCTTTGCGTGCTCCCCACGCAACTCCTTCTGGCGGATCCAGTAACAGTCGTATCGAAAAGTGTTGGTTTCTTGGTTTCGAGATCTTAGAATTGCCAAGTATATCATTTATATCGTTTATACTGAGTGGATAAGATGTAAATGGAAAGAGCAAGGATCATTATATCTTGGGTATGTATTTTATGTAATTTCATTAAGAATGCGTATATTGTAGTGACAATCAATATCGAATATTAATTATTTGAAATTAATTTTCAAACGATCGAATTTTCTGATATTTTATTCAATTTTTTAGATAATATTTTCACGGGTTATAAAGATCAGTGATGGCGAGCTCGATGAATACGAACAAACTTGTTCGTCGTTTATGAATAGTAAACGTTTAATATATGAATTTCACGGTTGCTCGGCGCATGCAGGTAGAAATTTCGGATTTAAAGTTAATGATACGAACGCGTGGCGAGTCGAAACCTTTGAAAATGGAGGAACGTTTAAGCACTTTGAGTGTGAAACGCTTTATAGCTCTTGCCACGGAATATTTCACTTATTTGACCTGGAAATGATATCCACAAGTATTCACGAATCGCGAGATGTTTCAACTTTGCAAAATATAATATTTATTAAAATAATGAAATCATATTTTCCTTTTTATTGAGTAGCAGTTTAATACAAGTTTAAGTAGTAGTATCTTTCTATAAATTTTCTCAAAATAGAACAAATCTTAAAAATCCATCAAATTGAACGATCGCTTTTCGAACGCTATTTTACCCAAGTACTCAACAATTAGAGAAGACAGAATCTCGTCGTTCATCGCCCCTATTACGACTCGTTCAGACTCATCTTCAAACCCTTTCGATCCTCGGCCCAACGAAGCTCGGCCAAGTCGAAGCCAGTAAACTCGAATCGATTTCAATTTGTAATGAATCTCTCTCGATAACCGGCGAGTCACGTCCTCGTTTGCTAATCGCATAAATAAATAAACGAAAACAACAGAGGGGGGGATAACTTTGATTCAACTTTAATTCATTCTCGAAGATTGCGCTTTTAAGCGTTTGAAACCGAGGTCTCGAGAATCGTAACCTCGACGATAATTAAACAGCCAAGGGAAATAATCCTCTTGATTCCTCCTTCTCTTCCCCTTTTCTTCTTCTTCTTCTTCCACTCCTCCTTTTTCTTTCTCGTTTCTTTTTCTAACGATTAACGAATCGTTTCAGTTGTTCAACGTCGTCGATGCGACCTACTACGATATTTTATTTCTTTTTTATCCGACCGTATTGCGACTCCTCGTCGCTTGTCGTCGATTGTGTGCTCAACCCCTTCAGACGGTATAATGAATCTGAGTCGTTAAAATTTTCTGCGAGGATAAGGTTTCTGCGTGGGAACTGCTTGTTGCAAGCGTTTTAAGAATCGAAATTCCTTTGGATACGTGTTTGTTGTGGATGATGATATTTATAAGAAGATAAAGTTTTCTCTCTTTTCTTCTTTCTTTCATTCGGATTTATGAGATGAGAAATTAATATCAGAAAGATTGGAAAGAATTATTTTCCAAAATTTAAAATTGTTGTTCATTTCACGAACAACCCTTCGAATTTAAAAGATCACAATTTCAAATTCTGATTATTCATTCAAGAAAAAAAAAGAAACGAAGAGATTGATCAAATTCAAAGAAGAAAGAGATATAATTGATTGGAAAAAGATTGCAAACGTTTCGAAAAATTCACCAAGTGGACTCGATTCCAGAGTCGATTCTTCATATTCTAAACGGTACATGAAATTTCACGATTCCATCAAAAGTGGCGCCTTTTTTCTTCGTTTTTGGGGAAAAATCCATGCGGAAAAGGATTCCAGATCGTTTCTATACATCGGTGGCCCATAAACCGACGCCATACAACCCTCGATCGTCGTCTATTCCTCGAAGGGATGGGATCCTCTAACGCCCTCCCCATCACATTTGAAGGAATATTATTATTATTATTATTGCGTGGAATAATAATCCTTTTGGAAATTTATTCTAATCACGCGTGCTCCATCGGGGAATAAAAACGAACGGGTGCATCAACTCTTTAAAACCCGTATGTATTTACTCCCTGAACGGGTCGATCGATTATTTTCATATACCATGAATTTCAAGCAGGAAGAGGAAACGATTAGGGCGCACATTATCATTCTTTCTATCCGTTATTTTATCGTGTTCAGAAGAACTTTTAATTTTACGTAAAGAAAGAAGCATTTCAAATTTACAACATTGTAAAACACAAGGATGTATAAAACGTGTTTTAATTAAAAAAAGTTAACTGTTTCAGAACGAAAGATTGGACGGAGGAGAATTTTTACGTGTTCCTTTAGAATTAATTATAAAATCCTCTGGCTATGATACACGCATGTAACATAACTTGGTCGATGTTCCTGGTGCGTGGCCCCTCGTCCATTATCCTTATCTTGTCAAGTTGAGCTCGAAAAGTCCAATAGAGTCTCGTTCCTTACCTCGACGTCAACGGGGGACAATAGCCAGGGAGTATTCATTATGGGGCGGGAGGGGAATAATTTTGCACGAGAAGCGGAAATCCAAAGTGCCGCCGCCCTTGTTGTGCCTCGCTCCTGCCTTCCCATTTCCCGAGTCGAGTCTCGCCCTTCGCTCTTGTTTGTCTCGACGCGATTTCTGAACGCGGATTTAATTGCGCCCGAACCCTTCTGGATGCTTGAAATTGCGAGAAAAGAAAAGATGTAGAGTTCGAAGGATTTTAAAATGGAAAATTTTAGATCTTTAGCGAAAGATCGAATTGTTGCCATACAGAATTTTTCCTGTATATAATGAAACGAAACGTAGAATTTTTCAAGAATTGTGGAGTATTAAGAATTTGTGTTTATAATAAAGATAGTCTAACAATGTTTAATATTTGAATTGGAAAATTTCCTCTGAAAGAAGAGGAGAAAAATTCGCTCGAGCTTTTCGAATCGTCTCCCAAAGATGATCGTCAAATCTTGGAACAGGTTGACAGCAACTGATCTCGCTATTTATTAAAGAGAAGAAGAAGAGATTTCTCAGGAAACGACGAAGGCGAATTTTGAAAAGCGGTTAACCGTGAATTATTTCGCTTAGGGAAACGGCTCGCCTCGCCTTCATACGTGATACGTTCCCCCTATATTTCCTTTCTAGGCTTGCGTGTGACAAGCCAAATGGGACTTTTCCCTCCCTTCCCCTCCTCAACTATAAAATTTTCTTACCCACACCAAAGAAAGCCACTTGCTGCTATCTCTAGATAATTCTCCCTCTCTTTCTCTCTATCCTTGTACATCCATGTGTGTGTGTTATCCTCCGCTATTGTGTTTCGTGGATTCGAGTCGTTCCTGGTGTGCAGGTTACACCGATTTCGTTTCAGAAGGTTTGGTTGGCGGAATTTATCGGCCGACCCGGGTGAAAAGAATCGGATTTCGTTGTGCCAGGTTTTTGAAATGAATTGGACATTGTTCGCGCGTGGAATCAAATGAAACGTTCTTTAAGCTGTTCGAAGCCATTTTGAATCAAAGGGAAGAGGATTTCTTAAGATGACCTGAGGGATGATGGAAGAGAATTCGTTGCTGGACAGATGAATAAGAATCGAATACGATTGATAATTTAAAAAAAAAAAGAACTTTGTGAATTCTTTGATTAATTAATTAATTAGAAAGAAATAATGTTTAGAGGAAGAGGAAAGATATCGTCGATGTTTGTTAGAAAATATAAGGCGTTAGATTTATGAGGTCATCAAGTTGAACCTGGAGCAAATAAATTACTTCCGCTTCGTCGCTAATCCAAGAAACCGCAGCGTGCAAGACCACAATTTCCAGAGCAACAATCACGGAGCGGCTGGATCGCCATAAAACATTCATCGAGCATCTGATTCTGGGAAAAGGGTCAAGGAAAATGTTGCGGTCAATCCTTGCGGTCCTCGAAGGATTCAAAGGTTCCTGGAATTAAAATGCCTTCGTTCCCGTTCATCATTTACATTTTACAGGACTTTTTAAAATTAAAATTCGATTCATCGGTTAATTAATTAATTTCACTAAACGTTCTTCTAAAATAATTCTTTCATTTCTTGCCAACGTTTCTCGTTCAAATGGCGAAGAGATTATTTCCCTGTTACCTCTTAATTAATTAATAATCCTTTGATTAATTCATCCTTCAAAAATTCTAAAAATTAAAAAAGAAAAGATCGAGCTTTACATATGTACAATGAAAGTATTGTTATATTATTCGATCTTGCGATTACCAATCGAAAGAATTATTAATAAAATGAAGTGCGAAGAGAGAGTTTCATAAATTTTAAGGAAAGATCTAGATCTGGATCGCTCGACGAAATCTTTATCGGTTGGGACGAACGTGCGTTGCATATTTAAAACTAATCACGCGTAAGTGAACCATCCATTCCCGCGATAATATCCCATCTCTTATTTGCTCCTGAAAGGATTGGGATGCGAATAGCGCTATTATCCTTGCCTGTTGACGTTCCTTGCGATTATTTCCAAGATGGTGCGATTCATTAAACAGCAGGATGTCACGTTTCTCGAATCTCCTCCACTATTTTGCGAGAAATGATGATGATAATAATAATAAACAAAGTGTTTTCCATACCGCGATATTTCGTGGGAAATGTTCGTCGTATTTAATTAATTCCTGCTCGAGATTATAATCGTCGATTGGTGGAGGGGAGGGAGGTAGTCGCTGCTACGTCGCGAATTCTAAGCAGCAAACTGTAGAATACTCGGTGAAAATTTGTCTAATGAGATGCTCGTGACGAGATCGTATTAATATTTGGTGAAATATTATTTTCTCTCTTTCTTTTTCATTCTTTCAGAAATTTTTTAAGATTCTGAAGTAGGAAAAGTTCAAGTAAAAATTACAAATTTCTGATTACAGTGATATGTACATTTTTTCAATTAAAATGTTTATTAATATATTTCAGGAATTATTTATATAAAAATATAGTAATGATAAAATTAATAGATATATTTAAGGTATTTTATTATAATTTATTTATCACAGTATTATTTGTATCAATTGTGTTAACGATTATTCTATAAAGTTTCCAAGAGATTTCTTTCTATGCAACATCGCCACGTCTCCATGCTTAAACCAGCAACGAAATAAAAATAAGAATTTTACTACCTCCTAAGCACAGCTCTGGAAATTCTTTCGTCAGTTGCACGTCTTCGACCCTTTCATGGCAATGAAGCCAGAAACGTTGTTTCGAAACTGCTAACCGTATAAATGTTCCATTGCAACGAATCGATAAGATCCTTTTCATCCGAATTCTCGTGTGGCATCGTTGCTTCTTGTTTGTTGAGGCAAAGACGAATATCAATGTTTCTAATTTTATAAAGAATCAAATTAGAAAAATAATTAAAATTAATGATAACATTATTATCACACGTTTTAACGTTTAATTTATTTACTCCGTTAGTTTCATTTTTCATTGGAGGAGGAAACGTGGAAACACAGCTTGTGCACAAGGAGAATGAAATCTAATTGAAGATGGAGAGAATCATCCAATTGTATCTAAATTTGATTGATTGCATTTCCATGCTAATTCTATGAACTATTAATCATAGATTAATATAGCTGTTTAAACTTCTCTATTTGATCATCTGTGAATTTAACGATAAACACCAAATATTGTTATTAACGTAATTATTATAATTTAATTGCGAAAGGAAAATAAATATCTTCCATTTAAATATTGAAGAATTTTAAATGGAATTCGCGAGGAATCTCTTAAGATTCCATTCTAATACATTAAAATCCAATTAATTAATATTTATAATTCATTCTGATACACATTTTAAAACATTATTTTGTAGAAAAAGAATTGAGCATATTAGCAACATATTTCTTTCGAACAATAACAATAGAATTCAAGATGAATAATTTAACTTGAAATCAAAGGTACTATTACCAAGAAAACAGGCATGCACGAACAATTATTCTCTCTTTCCAACCCGAAATCCTTCTCTCCATAATATTCATCACAAACTACTCACCCTCACCAAAATTGTTATTTCTTTTAATCTTCTATCTACGAAACTCGAATATCTAATCTACCTTATATCTTGCAGCTGATCACGAGCCAACCACCAATTTCTTCATCTTCCTATAACAAACCATAAACTAAGCTTTTTAATCTAAACATTTGATACACACGTTTCATATTCACGGCCTGAAATAAGGGATGTCCGACGAGCGAGCGACTCGTACTACTGAAAACACTTCACATCTAGAAGTAGTAGAAGAATACAATTCAGTCTCTTCTAACAAACGCATCTTTATCTTTTAATCTTATACAAATAATATAAGTATCTTAAGATGTAAAGCATCTTATGATGAATATTACAAACCATAAACTAAGCTTTTTAATCTAAACATTTGATACACACGTTTCATATTCACGGCCTGAAATAAGGGATGTCCGACCAACGAGCGACTCGTACTACTGAAAACACTTCACACATAGAAGAATACAATTCAGTCTCTTCTAACGTATCTTTATCTTCTAATCTTATACAAATAATGTAAGTATCTTACGATGTAAAGCATCTTATGATGAATATTATAAAATGATGTATAATCAATACAGATTTCTCCACCTCCTCGCAAACCGAACTCTTCTTTCTCGCTCGATTCAATGTCGAAAATCCTGCTTACCACGAAACGCTGCTTCCAACGACAAACAAAACTGCCTCCCCATGGTTGTGTTTTTCCACAGTCGAGTTTCATAACTCGAGTCGGCTTACACATCTAATCCATTACTCGGCTCGTGATACACAAGGGGTGTAAGCAGAAACGTGGATCGGATCGTAAAGGAGATTGTTGAGTCGGTGGTGGATGCTTAAAGTTGAAAGAACTTGGATCGCCGAAGGGGCAATCGGTGTAATGGCGACACGGGCGAGGAAAGAGCGATTCCTCGTTGCTCTTTCGATTCTTTTAATCGGTGGAAAAGGCAACGCCGATGGCCTCTTCGGGTTGATATCGACCCGTTTCCTTGAATTTGTGATTTTGAAAGAAAGATAATTTGGGATTAAGATTAAGTATGAGAAGATGTTGGTGAAGCATTTGTAAGTGTTTGTTAATTTTAATTATGTAATTTCGTTATTAATTGTTTTAATATTTTTAGGTTTAATTTCGCGTAAATTGATTGAGAGACTCAAAGAGGAGGAAACACTTTAAACGTTGTTACAGTAAACGTGATTTCAAGAATATATTGAAAAGATAAAGTAATCATATGTACACAGAGAAAATAACAGAGACCAGACAATTTGTTGAAAATTAAAATAGTGGAAATAACATTGAATTAAAAAATTTCAAACTTGCGGAATTAATATATATACATAAATTCAGCAACGATAATACTTTTATTCCTTAAATATATATATATACACATAATGAATTAACATATTAAATTATCTCTAATTATCTATCAGATTACAAAAACTGTCGCAATTACAATTCAAAAAAATAATTTTCATCTTCCATATATAACTATAAATATTTATTTCAGATTTAACTTAAATACAAACTCCACAAATTCTATACGTATTCTTCTTCATCGTGGAACAAAGCTTTATCGTTGACAAAACGCGTTACCGGAATGAATTTTCGCTTGGTCTCCACTTTAGACACCGTGGTGAGTACATCGAAACATAGGAGAGATTACAGTAAGACTTTGGAGAATAGGCAATTGTATGATGTCGCGTGTGTCCCGTGTTTGTAAAGTGTACGAAACTTGGGTCTTGCTGTTTTAGAGTTACAACCGTGGAATCGCATTGTCTAGTTAATGCTTAGGAGGATTAAATCGCGATCGAGGGGATTGACCAGCATTTCTACCTTCATCTCGTTGTATATATCGTGGCGCAGGTGTTTCCAATCCAAATGGAATATTTTATACATTTCTTCCTTCCAGATATTTTCTTCACCCTTAACTTATTTATTTTATAATTCGCTTCAATAATCACTCGGTACGAAATCAATTTTTTCCCAAACTCGATTCTTCTTCCCCTTTTTAAAATTAAATTTTATACCCAATTTAAATAAAGAAAATATACATTTCCAACATATATTCCACCGATATTCTAATACAAGAGGGGCAAAAGAGTGCGTATCGTATAATCGTCCATCCTCGTGCACAAAGATCAATATTTAATAGCATCCATAGGGCGGAACATTTTCAGAGGGAGCATAAAAATTCACGGCGCGCCTCTCCAGAAAACTTTATTTCAATTCTAAAGAACAGCGAACGGTACTCACGGTACATACCTTCCAATAAGTTTATAGAACGATAACCCGGATGTTATTCCATCGCATGTCGCTTTTGATCGTCCATTTACGTTTTCTCCGGTGAACAGGAGTGGTTCTCTTCCTTTCCCCCCTCTCTCTCTTTCTCTGAATCGAAATTTCGAAAACGAGGGAGGAGAGGGGAGGAACGCCGAATTTTATATCCCGTGATTTCGATATCGATGCGCAATCTCACGTCCCCGCGCATATCTCGCGATCCCGCGTACGCGGAACGCATTCGAAATTAGTTTACAGTGTAAAAGCTCGTCCGGGTATCTCGACGCGTGTTTCGAAATTACTATTTCGTAATTAGCGGGGAAGATCGATGGAAAGTAATGAAGCATTATAACGGCTACATCCCCTCCTCCCCCCTCGTCGCTGTTTAATTTTCTAATTAAATTTCATGACTCGGGATTGATATTTCGGGCGATGATCGGGTTTGGAAATTGGGAAAGGGGGGAGAGAAATTGCGATCCCGGCGTATTGGGGCGGAAATTTCGATCGTTTGTTGAGCGGACGACGAGGAAAGATTCGAGATTCTTATCTATATGGAGAATATATATAATAAGAGAAGAATCGAGTATCATTATTATTAATGAGGCTCGTCGTAGTTTGCCTTTGAAAAAAAAAAAAAAAAAAGAGAAAAAATCGATCGGGATTGGCATTCGTTGATCGGCCAAGGAATGCATCATTCATAGTCTTGGTTGGGTTTTGCAGGATGGTGATTTATATCCGAGTTCTTTCGCGCCACTTTTCTTCCATCGTCGCGAAATAAGCGACGAGATTCGCATGAATACGAGATCCTCGAACTTGGAGGGAACTCGTTATCGGGGAGGAGGAGAAGGGGAAGCATCGAGAAACGCGATACTCGAAGATTCTCACACGGGAAATATACATATGTATGGAATTTCTCTGTTCGCGGATGATACGAATGCACGCGGGACACGGAAGTGCGTCCACTTTTCATTTTTCTGCAAGAAAAGGCAATTTGTATCCCACCGTCGAAACGGGATTCTTATTATCGGGATGCAAAGGAGAAGGGAAAAAAAGAATTTGCATTTCTTTAAAATTTCTCATCGTCATTTTTCTTACCTGCATCTTTTTCAGAATTTTCTTTTTTTAATGATTCTTTCATGATTTGAGAACTGAGTGAACTCTTTATGAAAATTATTATTCGTACATTTTATGAATGGAGGAAAGTTTTTTTATTAAAATATTTTATTTTAGAAATTATATCTATTATATATTGAAATAATTATTTAAATTTTTCAGATATTTGTTTCGTAGGATAATTACATTTACTAGAATAATTTTTACGAATAAATACATAAACTCGTTTAATCCAATTTCGGATATATTAACTCCGCGAATGTACGAAATTTCGTCCGAGTTTTCCCCCAAATTTCGAATCATTTGAAACGTGTTACGTGTAAATATTAGAACGGTTCCACATCGTTTCGTAAAATTCGATTCGCTGTTGATTTTTCATTACGAGATGAAACCTGGGAGGAGAAAACTGGGAGGAGAGAGAACGCGTTCTCGAATATGTTTCAAGAGATTATTAATCCGTGACAAAGAAGAAGAGAAATAACTCTTCGAGCGAAAGTAAGCCATTTCCACCATTATTCATCGCTCGACTCGAATACGAAAGATGGACAAATGGATTCCGTAAGCTTATACGAATGGATCGAAGTTACTTCGTGAAAATAAATAAGGATTCTTGAGGTATGCGTTTGCATGGATGTGCATACTCGTTTGGAAAATAGATTTCTAACGATTCGAAAACATTTCAGACGGAGGAGCGTGAATAATAGCTCGATGAAAACTGCTAAGCTTCATCAAAGAAAAATTATACCGATTTTTTTTTATTCTTTTATCTTATCGATACGCAGTAGAAAAAGAATTTTTGTATATAATCACGGATCGAAAATGAGCATAAAATATTATTTCCAAATACACGATCTGTCTATATCTCCTTCTCGAGAAATTTCGATAAGATCGATTATCTCGACCGGTTTATCACGTTTTCCTCCTATTCCTAGGGCGAAAAAGCGCTTAAAATCTCGTTATGCACGCTTCTGGTGATGGAACACGCGCGATAAATTCCAAAGATCCTCGGGAAGATGGAGGAAAAGATCACGAAATTCGTGATCGACCGAGTTTTTCACCTCGCCACGGACCGGCAATGCGTCATTTCCCGACTTCTGCTCCTATGGGAATCGGTAGGAATTTGTTTCCCGATTTTCGGCCAACATTATCGCTCCTCCGATTCGGACAATCGAAGGAAATACGTCCATCGTGTGAATGGGTATTGTAAAATTTGTTGGATTGAATTAATTCTCTTTTTCTTTGCAGGAATAGAAAGGTAAAGGATTTATTTTTGTAATTAAAGAGTATTTATAAAATTTGTGATTCTTAGTATTATATCGGGATTGTAAATTAAGAAGCCTGCAAATCAGGGAAGAAAATCGTGTTTATTTCAATAATTAAGAATTTGCAATTATTTTCAATAATAATTAAGAATAAATAATTAAGAATAATTTGAATGGATATTTTTAGATTCTGATTATTTATAAATTATAAGTTAGTTTTGTTTAGTTTTGAAATTTTTTCACAATGAATTATATGTATGTTTCCTGATAATTTATATAAACATTCCTAGATTATAACACAATCATTTCTCTAAAACTTTGTACAAATATTTTCTTTTATTTATCTGCAATAACAAATTCTACCAAGAATTCACATAAACACTTCTAATTTAACATATAACATATTCTTTCTGCAATAATTGACAATCACTTTCTTCATTATTCACCAATTACAAATCTATCCTAATTATTAAATTTCATCTCCTTAACAACCAATCACTTACCATCAATTTCCATAAATATCTTTTGATATCTTCTGACTAAATTACAGATTCTTTTTAAAAATTTCTCAAAAGAAATCGTCATAAATTACACAACAAACTATCTTAATCAAGATAGTTCCACTAGTTAAACAAATTTTTCCATAACCATCTAATCAAATTCAAAATTTCAATACTTTCTTAAGTATTTCTCTTAAGAGAAAGAGAGAGATCGTTTCACCTGGTTTAAAGAATCTTTCATTAACACCTGGCCACGCAACCAGACACCACCTCATTACTTTTCACCACTCTATTTATCTTTCATCCCTTTGAACTCTTCCAGTCGTCGTTTAAGCATCGATTTCAAGCCAGAAATCTTGATCTGCTCGTAAACTTGCGTTCTTGGTGTTTTACATTCGAAGGAGGGTTGTTCTCCTCCTCGTAAGATACTCGTGAAGGGAAGAGGAAAACGTAAAGGTACGATGATACTTCAGGAAACGATTCGTTCACTTATTCTTCGTCGCTCAAGACGAAGATTCCTGAATATTTTAGTATTTGTTGAGTCCTGTTTCTCTTTTTTTTTCTTTCTCTTTCTTTCCTCCTTGATATAGAAAAATTTTTCTTCGACAACTCTTTCGCTGATGGATCTTTGTCTTTATTAGTAACTGTTTTTATCTGTTATTTATCTGTTATTATTGAAAGAAAGTGAAGTTGTGAAAAAGCTTTTCTTGTTTGAATAAATACGAGTGTAATAATTTTAGAATGTTCATATGATCAGATTATAATACGTTTTATAATTTGAATTGTGAATAATAAAATTGTGTAAATTTTTGCTAATAAAGAATATGAAATTCAATAGAGATTGGTTTCATCGTTTAAATTTATATTTTTTTATTTCTTCTTTTAATTTCTTTCAAAGTAATTAAATTAGGGAAAACAGGATCGATATTATTCAATTAACAGGTATATATAATTGTCACAACAAATCAAGATTGATTCAATCTTGCATCAATAATAAGAGATAAAAACAGTTACTAATTTTTTGATTCATATTTATTAAGAGTGTCTCTCTTTTATACTGAAAATACTCTCTGTATATTGAAAATTATTTGGAACCACTTGTATTCTTGCTAGGAAATCCGATCTCGATGGATTAATCTTTATTAATGCCAAGAGAAATTTATGAATAAGAAATGACGGGTAAAAAAACCTTAGGTATTTTTATTAATCCCTCTCTTTCTCCCTCTCTCTTATCTTAAAAAAATAAAAATCACCTAAT